CACTAAGAAATGACTTTTTGTATGTGAAAGAATTCTAATATTAACTTAACGACTGCCAAATTTCATGAAGATATACCCATTATATTGAGAGTTACAAGTATTAAATCTATACACTTTAAACAAGTGCAAAAGGTCACATGACTCGGTCAAATTGACCAACCCCATATTGAGAGGGTTATGATGATGTACAAAGATTGCTAGTAGGTTACGTAACTCTTGTGAAATTTCTTTCAAAAAAATTAAACTTGTAGATTAAATTGTTTGAAATTTGACAAGAACTTTCTTAAAAGTATGTAGTTTCAGAAAAATAAAATATTTAATTTTGAATTTTTTCTGCTATTTCTATTAAAAATTCTATTAATTCATTATTTTTATGTTTATATTTTATTTTTATTTGCATTTTCTCTACAACATTACTAACTCTAGCTATTATCATCAACGTAGAAGCAAATGAAATGTTTAAAATTTAAAAAAATGGAAATATATATAATATATACATATCTTTATCTCTTCATTAAATAATCCTACAATATCTTCTTTGGGTCATATGCATAATTTCACATCTTTATCTTTTCACTTAGTTAATTTTTAATGTTTTATTAACCTTTTATGTTCTTTAGCTTTTATTATTTATGTCAATTAATACATCAAGTGCCTGTGGGCAATAAAACATTACCATCAGCAGAGATAGTTTTAGCCTCTGGCAAAATGTTTGCTCTCACTAACTTTATGAAAGCTGGTTGAGCGAAGCAAAGCATAAAATAAACTCAGAAAATTATTAATCCTTTCAAATATGAATTTTAAAACAAATAATACATAATTAACCAAAATATAAAAGTAAATCCTAAATGCAATTTAACTGTATCAAACTAATATGTATAAATCAAAGAAAAAAAAACAGCCAAGCACTGGGGACAACAATGTCCATCAACATACTTAGGAACTGTATGACTACATCGTCAAAAAAAATTAACATCATGGTACATAAAAGATAATTTACAGGAAAGATTCTGCAAAATGTGCTCTTTGTATTGGTTATAAGCATGCCATTCATTATAAGTGGCATATCTTGAACTGAGGAATTTTTACGATGGAACAAATTCTTGAAATTTTCTCAAATTACTTCTAGACAACATGTATACACCGCATTTTGAATGTCTAAATTACACAATTTCTTCTATACCAGCTCTATCAAGTTGATAACTATAACTGTGATGGTACCCATACAAAAAAACTGCAGTTTTAATTATTGTTTAAGTTTCTTTTGAAATAAATCGAATAAAAACTTAAATAATATAAAACTTTGAATTATAACGTGCTTGATGAAAATAATTTCATTAAAATACATTGACAGTCAAGTGGTTTACATTTTGAATTTAACACAATAACATGTGCAGAAAGTATTTAAAAATGCCATCATTCTGATAGGGTTAAAATACAGAAAACTATGATTTTTGTTGGTACAAGATAGGCCATATAGACAATTGTTGGGTGTAAACCTTCCTTTAAATTTTATTTTGACTCAACTTTTATTATTTTCTAAATATTAATAATTATAAGTTATATTGCAATGTGTACTACAAAGCAGAATAATAGTGTGAAGACTATAATGTAAAATGGCCAGCAATGACTGGCAAAGTCAGAAATGCACATCAAATTATGAAAACAAATTTCCTTTCACCTCAAGGGATTATTAACTTTTTCTTTCTTCAAAGAACAAAATATATTATTATTATTTACTACTGGCTTTAACACTCTCGCCCTGTCCATCATTTACTATGCATTTCAGTGATTTAAGTTTGAATTTTAATTAAACTACTTTTTGTTTATATTATACCAAATAGTATTGCATAAAATCAAAGCTAATATTTTATATTTTAATGGTATACAAGTTTTAAGTTCTTAATTTTATAAGGCAATATTTAAAAAAATCGTGAAATCCCCTAGTATGTGAAATGTGACATTTTCTCTATTCTGAGTTGCTCGCATGCATGCCTCATGAAACATTATTATATTATCATTATTCTTTATTTTACCCAATCTAACCTCAGCTAACCTAAATAGAGCCATATTTTTACATTTTAGTTACTTTTATAACAATAAATTAAGAATAAACATGAAATAAAGTACTTACCAGGTCTTCTTTTTTTTGCTGTCTACTGTCAACAACACTTAACTCTACTTTTTTTTTTATACTAATGTTAGTAATGAATAAACTTTTATTTAATTAAATAATGCACCAAAGAATACAGAATAATAACATGCAGAAAATTTCCTCCAACTATCACAATTTCTGGTTTTATAACTATACAACAGAAACTATTACAAATTCATCCAAGCTAGTCATCATCTTTCCCATAGGAACAAAGCTTTTACTAACTGAGAAACTGACAATTTTCTGTTCAGAAAACAATGTAATATTATACATAATTTGATAGATCAAAACCTTGGCTTTCTATTGGTTATACACAATATTGTATTAAGCATAAAAGAGAACTATTAACAAATCCTGAAACAGGGGATGTGACAGGTGGGTGTGGCAAGAGGGGTCTGGTTTTCTATTTTATTGCTCTGTAACCAAACAAGATTGAAGGCTATAAAAATTATGGTTTGTCTGAGCAATGAAAACATTATAATGAGTAATTTACGTTAAATTCCATACTTCTCAGAAGGGTGTTAAATAAATTATAGAAGTGGGGATACTTAGAGATCAAATGTTGCAATTCTTATACTAAAAAAAAAAATTCAGGATTTTTTTTTAATGTTGCCTCATACAGTTAAGAACTTAAAACTTATATAATAACAAAATTTGGATTATTAGCTATGTTTGTATGCCAATTATACTCGTATATAATGATAATAAAGTAATTTAATTACATTTTAAATACAACTCAGTAAAACCTCATGACATGCATAGAAAAGGATGCCCATAGTGAGAGGGTTAAGATATGTTTAGATCTGAGACTTAAAATTTCCAAGACAAGAATATTCCTTGTAATTAAAAGCATTAGAAAACGAAAGATTATGTATCAAGGCA